AGGAGCCAGAAGCGCGTTTCGTAATTTGTACGTGCCGCGTTTCATTTCCATGAGGAGTTCCTTCATTGCGAAAACGTGTTCGCTTTCATACTGTGCCTGTGTGCATATCTACGTTACATCCCTCTACCTATACACTAATAAATATATATGGCCTGGTTTAAAGTGCCAATCGATAAAAAGCCGCCTCATTAAAAGGCAGACAAGACCCAATTTCATCCATGACAAGAAGGGAGCAGAATCGGCTGAATATTGCCAAATGACGTAAAACATAATTTAAAATTTCTTAAATAAATATAAAAGTTATTCCTAAAGAAGCCATAGGCATGTCAACAATATAGGTTGTGACCGGCGCTCAACAGCTAAAGTACCATTGAAAAACTAAAATGCCATAGCAACTTCAGCAATAGGTATGATACATTGCAACCATTTTTTTTTTTTTTGTCATTTGTTTGTTTGTTTTTTCTTCTTTTAAATTAAATGTACACCACAACGAACTTAAAAAAACGCTATTGGTGCAGTAATGAGAAGACTTCTCGGGTGTTACGGGGAACGGGACCATGCATAGAAAGCTGTGTCTGTATAGTCGTCGTAAAACGGGTCTATAAAGTGTAAAGCAGGTAACACAGTTGATACAAGAAACCAACCCTCTACGAGATGCCAAGCGATGTAACACGACTGGCTCCAGTTCCAACAGCAATGGATAGTCAAGATAGTCATCCAGTGCAGGTAAGAGATGAGCTTCACTGCAGTAATACTGAAGTTGCCTTTTTCAGCACTTAGCACAGTGAGGTGGGGAGAGGGAAGGAGAAATGCTCCAAGAAAGGACGAGTGGATGCTGTCAACGCCAGTCTTCTGCCCGCTCCGCATGGACACCCATCGGTCAGGAAGGCTGCCGCCAGAGGTTGGCTCTCGGTGAGCGACGGGCACGTTTCCCCCTCAAAACCGTTCCCGGGAGCTTCGGGTGAGGAAGTGCTGATCCACCACTGTGTTAAGGCGCTCCGCGTCGCATGGGATGGGTGTCCCGGCAAGGGGACGCAGGAGGGCTTGGAGGCACCGGCCCGGCGCCCGGACCGGGAGGCTGCAGCCGCGGTGGCGCTCGGGACCTCTTCGGGTGAAGTTCCACAACTGTTTCCTGCCAACTGCTTCACATACGTGTTGGAAAAGGACATGGCTCTAAGTTTCAGGAATCACAGTAGTGCGCAGTGGGTACAGCAGGGAGCAAACACTTGTGAAACTCCTGCAGAAGCAGCTCCCAGCCCTTTCTTAAAGCACTTTTTTTGTTTGCATTCAGGGAAACCGACTGCAGGCTTATTTGATCCAATTTCCTCTTTGCACCATACACATATAAAACATTACAACTCTGTATAAAAGTACAAGTGGTTCTTGTACATCTGAATTATGCAGGAACTATGTGAGCAAATCCTATCAAAATAGCTATTTTTTTTTTGTGTGTATAAACAGCATTTGTTTTTAGAAAAAACAATATCATAAACTGCAGAATCTGTACAAAAATATAAAATAAATTTGGGCAGCAGTTTCTAAACAGCCATGTAAATGCAACACTTAAAGAGGAGCAGGTTAATGCCTCCAAAAGGCTGAATTGCTAAGTCAACCTATACAGGGCTAAAATGGTATTGAGATTATCTAAATAATAAAATTTTTTACCTCTTGCAATAAAACTTATAGAAAAAATAGACAAATATGCACATGCAATTTACAGCTTTCCCCAACATAATCCTTGTGCTTAGCTTTTACAATTTTTTTTTGTCTTTTTTTTTTTCCTTTTTTTTGTAATAACATAACGTCATCTACAATACATATTCTTTCCTATACCAGGATATTCGGTCTTCCTTGAGGAACCACTTTAAAAAAAATACATTAGAAGTGGTCATACATGGATGAAGGCACTCCAACTCTGCTTGAAGCAAAAAACTAGTGTGATCCTTTTCTTTTCAAAAAAGGCAAGCAAGGACGCATGCACAGTGCTGTGAATCGGGGGTGGGAGGGACTATGGAAATACTACCGAGTGTATATACTGGTACTTAAAATTAAAAAAAAAAACAAAACCAAAAAGAAAACACCCCAAGTTGCTATATTTCTATATTTTAAGACCCAACAAGCACCTCCATGATGTGATCCAGTTCTGTGAGGTCCATTTTGAAAGGCTGATTTGGAGTTACTGGTTGACTGCTGTACGGAGCGAGAGTTTTTAGGAGCTCATCTGCTGAGACAGGAGCCATTTTTGAGGCAGCCCCTGTGGCAGACGTGCAGGGGTCAAAATCATACATGGACGTATCAATGTCAGCGAACAGAATATCATCCAGGGTCAAGTCTGTGAGGAAACCCGTGGAAGTCGTTATCTCAAAGTTTCCAGGGAGCGAGTCCATGAGTTTCGATTCGGCCGTTCTGCTCTCCGGGAGGCCCTCGGGCTTTTGAACGTCGGACTCGCCGGGATGGTCTTTAGAGTCATGGGCTGCTGTTTCGGCTGCTACTGCCTCTGCGGAGGTAGGTGCTGGACAAAGCTCCTCGATTTCGTCCAAGGCTGAGGAGAAGCTGTCCTTTACTGGTTGGAGAGCAGGAGGTGGTGGTTTTGTCAGACCATCGTGCTGGACAGTCGGGGAAGTGCAAAAAGCGTCGTCCTCGAGCAACGAGGCCGGGGTGAGGCAAGACTCCAGGGGCGTAGTGCTTACGAAGTCGGTGGGGAGAAGGGGCTGGGAGGCGAGATGGCTGAACGCCGGCGGGGCCTCGCGGAAGCTGTCGCCAAGAGGGTCGGCGGGCTGCGAAGCGGTCACGAACACGGGCCTCAAGCTGCCTTCTTGTTTGAGTTCTTCCTGGATTCGCCTCAACATGTTGTTGATTAAAACTGTCTTTTGCAAGCTTGGCTCGGTTAATGGCCTGTGGTTATAAAGTTTCATAAGGGAAATGTTGAAGATAGTCTGACGCTGTAAGGTGTAAGACACCTTAGAGGGACCGTCAGTAGGAGACACCACTTTGCCTTCCAACCCATCTTCATGCTCGTCAAACTTCCGCTTTCCTCCTTTCCCCAACATATATCTGGAAGAAAAGAGAAGAGACTGATGAAGCCAGCACAGCTTGAAGCCTGCTCTTCCAGCCTGAATCACTACCCCAGTCCACCCACACACGGTCCACCCTTGCACATGTGGTGTGGACAGATTGGCCGCTCTGTCCCTTCCTTGCTTACCCCTAACAGTCACAAGTGGAAACCTGTCCACATAACTCACTCATTCTTGGCCCACAGCAGCACAATGAGGAAGCAGAAGCTGCCTTAACGCGGTGCTCTGGTCCGTCATGTTTAAGCACGGCTACGCTGGTAAATTCCAAGCAGGAACTCAAACAGCATCTATAAAACTCAAGCCCTTGTGCGCTTGGCAGCAAATTTCCCTCTTGCATATGTTAAGCATATGGTCCCCAAATATCTGTATGTAGGTGCACGAGCTACCGATGCTATGCTGAACGCTCCTTTAAAATTCCTGACTTGATGCAGTACTACGCCTGGGAATGCAAACGTAATACACCGAGGTTCTTACAGTGAATCTCCCTTTTTATTCAAAAGCGTGCTTATGGAGGGAAGGGGAGTGAGGCTCAAGCAATTGTATACTGAGAGAAACCTTCCCGGTGAATTCGGGAGACTCGGCCCTTTAGCACACCAGGATACATGCATCTCTGACCTCACGGGTTGATTTAACGGATCACCTAAGGGCTAAACTTCTAGAGCAGGAAACACAGTTATTACACTCAGAATTAGACAAATTACAGATGAAGAAGAAGATCCATCAGGTCTTTTAGTCTAATCTCCAAGACCATTCTCTGTACCACACTCCGCTGCTGTAGCCAGGGCCTTCAATCCTGACAGTGCCCAGGTCCCTGGCACCTGCCTTGGAAAGCTTCGGAGGAGCATCTCCTGAAGAGAGCACACCCCATCCAGGAGCCAGCCCCTCGGGGAGCACTCCAGTCCCACGCTCCGAGTCCCCATGGGAGCGCAAGGCCCTGCCTGCCCCTTGGCTGGGGGCAGGGGGATGAGCTGCGTCCCCACCTGCACAGGAAGCAACGGCAACTCCGGCTGGGGTGGGCTGCACTCCCACCCTCTGCTCTTCGGAGCACGGGAAGTGTTTTCACACAGAGGTGTTTGAAATCCTTCCCTCAGCTCCTGCCTGGCTAAGGCCTGGTAAGGCTTTTGGGAGCTCGATAGCCAGAGGGAGAACAGCTTCTGCACCAGAGCAAGGATGCATTGCTCCAGAGGCACCATTTGTCTTCACTTCTCCCCCATGAAAGCGTGTCCCTCACTCAGGACTATGTCAGGTTTCGTTTGAGAACAAAAGAATGCCGTAGGGCTTTCTAAAGAATAAAAGTCAGCATAAACGCACGTGCTTTTTCTCCTGGTCAGATGGCAGATTTTGAAGAAGGAAACAAAGGGAATTTTACCAAACTTGCCCCGTGTCACAAATCATTTCTGAGCCAAGAGTAAGTAGGGCAGTTCAATCCCCTGTGCTGTCTCTTCGAGGATGTTTCAGAGCGCCTGGAAACACTCCTCTACGCAGCGCAGTCCCAGCCTCACTTTGTCACCCTTATTTTTGTGACATGAAGATCCTCCCAAACGCAGAGGAACGAAGGAATTGCTGTACTGTGACAGAGGCACAACCTAACATTATGCATCTGAACAGGGAGGGCTTTAGGGTCAGCAACCCTCTCTGCCCCACACCACCCCTCACCTTCGCTGAGCAGCCAGGGTTTGGGTTGGTGAAATTCCCAGGATTACGTGGGTGAAACCGCATGGTCCATGTGACGGTCACTTCTTGCAGTGCTTGTGAGACAGCAGGTTCCCTCTGACTCTCTCCCCTACTACCTGCACGGACCCAGTTTACCAGAAAAGATGTTTTATTGCATCTAAACCAAAACTAGAAGGAGCAGAGGCCGGTGCTATACCTCACTTGCCTGTCCCATGGGCTGCATCAAATAAGCCAAGGAAAAGTCCTGCGGAGACAGGGGTAGGACAGCAGGCATTGCAGAGAAGCACCCCTTCCCGGATGCTTCCACATTTTAATGGCCAACGTTTGGGTTTTCCTCTTTCATTTCCCTGAGTAGAGCAGCGAGGTGCTCAAGCACTAACCCAGCTGCCCTTTTAATAGGATCACGGACAGCTCCCTGTTCATCCCTGTGTCCCTCCCCTCCATTTAACAAAATGCTAATAAAATGGCATGAAGCTTTCTGCCTCATTTAAAAAAAAAAAAAAAAGAAAAAGAAAAAGTGGAAGATGCTTCCCAGCCGCAGCTACCCAGAGAGAAGTTGCAACAGGCATATAAATAGATTTTTAACCCCAAACCTGACTCCTCTCATAGGAGCTTTATTATGCAGCTATCTCCTAGCTATCGTCTAGGAGACAAAACTCACTTTCCTTATCCAAGTACAATTCCCAATTCCCCCAACAGGATCCATGCCTGCGAAATGACTGCACCAGGCAGCTCTAACACTAATTTGATCGCCCTACACCGGTCCTGCAGTAGCTAAGGACTTGCAAACATCCCCAAGAATGTTTGACAAACCTTTAAAAGCAAAGAGCCCTTGCGAAAAGGGAGAGGGGGCAAAAGAAGTCAGGGTTTCGACACAAAAAAGCTTCAGAAAGCATTTGCTGGATGTTAAATCCAAAATCAGATTGGGTGAAGTGAGCCTCTTCTGGTTAAAAATAAGTCCCAAATCCAGATCATTTTCTAGCATATTATGCAATTAAAAAAAGAAAGGCGGGGGGGAGGGAGCAAGCTGAGCGGAGCTGAGGAACGGGTAGGCTGCCATCCAAGCTCCTTGGCCAGCTACCAGCAATCCCCGCGCCTGGAATCTCGGGTGAACAAAACCTCTGAAATTTAGCACTACTGCTGAAGTCTGGTTTTTCTCTGCTCCCTAGTGTTACTTCCATGGACTACTCCAGAGCTGTGCACGTGGGTTTGGGGGGTGTGTGTGTGGGGGGGGGGGTGCTGTTCAAGCATTCATGACGGACATGCTTCCTTCCACTTCGGACAGATAGAGCAAGAAAGGGAGGATCAGGTTAGCAAGAATCCAAACCCCTGCCCAAGTCCAGCTGGTTTTCAAAGCAGCAATGGGTTAGGAGGAGAGTGAGCAGCTTTCCATCTCTTCCTACTATCCGCTTCCTCTGAAAAGAGACAGACTCTGTCCTAAAGACATACCAACGCTCCTTCCACAATGCTCTATTTAAAGGAGAATTTTTTTAATGGCTTGGGGACTAGGAGAGTTTCGAAGTTTGTCAGGCTCTGCAAGGAATGTTTAAAAATATTCACTGCACAAAGCAAACCTTTTTTTCCTCGCCTGATAAAGAAAACGGACCATTCGGGTGGCCACGCTCCGTTCCCTGTGCTTGATTATTAATTATTATTGTCAGGAGACGTCAGCAAGCGTTTTAAATTAACCCCATTGAGCCCATTTGCATCCCAGATTGAGGTGCTGGTAAGTTAAGACTTTTTTTTAAGCTGATCGGTAGGAGCTATGGGATCATCATCAGTAAACACAATGATAACCTCACTACGTCATTTTCCAGGAAGCTTAGAAATGATGCAAGGTTTCCTGTGTGTGTGACCGTCAAGCTTTCACATCTCACTCGATCTTCACAAAGCTTGGTTCAGAGCTTGTCCTTCTAAAAGATAAAATAGACGAGACAACTCCCAATTTCACCTACTAGCTTTCCAGCGCAGCTTTCAGTTTCCTTTTCCCCAGAAATGCTCTCTGAAGCGAGTTTAACCGTTAAAGCGGCAAAGCAGGATGCCAGCCTAAGGAAAGGGGATTTTATTCCTCAAAACAGGGGGCTCAAGAGCACCTCTAGACTCTCAGCTTTATGGAGTTTTATTTTATCCCCTCCTCCTCTGGCACGCAACCGGGAATTGTAAAAACATTTTCCTCCAGTTTTCATAAATCACTGTATTCATTCTAAGCAAAGCAAGAAGGCAGTATCTTTTCAGACCGACTGATAGAGTCAGTAAAAACAGACAGGCTTCAGGCTTGCAAGCCTTTCTCTGGATCTCCATAGAGGAATTTTATAGTTTCTGACTGCCACAGCTTAACACAACGTTGCCTGTTCGTTCTTTACAGTTCAAACCATCTCTTCCCTCCTTCAACCAACAGTTTCATGCCTACATTAAAGAGATTCATTTTCTATGTCTTAATACACCGAATAACATTTAAAAAAAAAAAAAGAAAAAACAAGCTATACGATGCCAACATTTGATCTGGTTCAGTTCTGTTCATCTCAGAAACTTTGCTCCTCGCCTTTCCAGCCAAAGCTCCTGCTGGGAGAACGAAAACACCAAACTTACGGATCAAGTTGGGCAAAGATCAGTCCAAAATGAGATATACCCACACCTTGCCAGGTGCCAGAAGACAAGAGTTGGCCTACCAAGTCACACGGCCATAACAGGGACAGCCAGACAACAGCAATCCACCAAAATGCATGACTGGACAGGCAGCAACAAGGGGTCACGTCCACGGAGGGTCTTTTGTGCATCTGTTTTGGCTGAGCAGCAGTCCCAGCCAGAAGTATTTCTGCTGCATTTCCATCTGTCTGCCAGCAAATTTCATTTTGGGGCCAAGCGTTAAGAGTTGAGATGGGATGTCGCTTTGTTGTTGTTGTTTTAATAAAGGGTGTTGCAGGGGTTTGGTATGCAAGTTAGTTTTCAGTGTTATTTAGGTATGTGGAACCAGAAAGCTGAAGAAAGGCAAAGGAAAAACTGCATTTATCCGGGGATTGGGGCGGGGGGAGTTACTTGGAGATCTTCGCCAATGTTATCTACCAGTTGGCTCTGCCTCTGGAAGACCCAGACCCAAAAGCTGAACTATTGTTGCTGAGAAAGACTGAACTTGCTTTTTCGCCCATTTAGGGTGATTGCATGCGTCTCAGAGCCGGAGAAACCCTAGCATTGTTTGGGAGTTGGCTTTTCTTAATTGAAAAACAAAAGTAATATATATTTTTTCATTTGCGTGTCATTTAGCTTCCTTTTATTGGCTCTGAACGCTCTTCAGACAGAGCTGGAAAAAAATGCAGTTGGAGCTCAGTAGAAGAGATAATCAGGCTGGAGCGGGT